GTGTCTCAGACCTCTAGACCCAGATTTAAAGGCTCACGTGATTAGGTCAGGTCCACATGATAATCTCCTTTTTAATTAACTCATAATCAGCAGATTAATTAGCTTAATTACATCTGCAAAATCCTCTTTGCCAGGTAAAGTAATATAATCCCAGGAGTGACAACCCATCCGATTCATAGACATCACCCATATTCAAGGGGGAGGGATTCATACAAGAGTGGGGCTCATTGAAAACTCTGCCTTCCACACAAATGGACATCCACAGGGAACACTGTGTGTTGTGTTCTGTGGTGTTATTTTAAAAATAGATATGCCTTGGTTATTTTTCCTACCTAATAAATACAGATCAGGTTTTTATGGCTGAAGACTGTTCTATTTTGTGATTTTAAAATAATTAATCTCATACTGGATGGTTTCTGGTTTTCCTTCTTAAAAATTACAGAAGGATGAACATCCTCGTGTACATGTCTTTGCCTCTGCGTGATTATTTCCCGTGCACAGTTCTGAGGAAAGGGCTTTACCGAAGCGAAGGATAAACTAAGCCAGTGCTGTGACGTCCCTTCCAGGGCCCTCCAGCAGTGCACGGTGCTGCTTTTCTGCTGAGGTTCTGCTTCAGGGGAAGATCTCTGCGTCCTTTGCACCTACACCACTGAGTCATTATTGATAGCATCCTTGAAAGGAGTTCTGGAAATTACTAGCTGCCACGGCAGGGAACATACGGGAAGTGACGTCAAGAAACAACATGCTTTTCACGTCTCGCCTCCATCATTATCTGCCCAAAGAAGCCCTTTTCAATTTGATCAAATAATTCTCAACAAAACAGGGGCTTTGTTTTAACGTCTACACTGCTTCTTTAGAAAGAGGCAACACGGATACTAGAGCACAGAGAACGTTTATAATCTTTTTAACTTTAAAAGGACACTGCCTATTTCGATAGTTTAGTGGGACGTCGGGTTCCAAGTTTGAAGGCTCTGAGAAAATACAAAACTGTGAATCTTAAAAAACAAACAAAGATTTAATTATGCCTGCCTTGCTGAGAGATCCTCTTGCCTTTCAAGAAAACAGTACCTGGTGAGCAGCTGCTAAGAGCCAGGTCTGGCGCTGGGAATGTGGCGGTGAACAGGCAGGCGGCACCCACAGAATGGACCCAGCACTCTAAGCATGCATGATGAAACTGAAAGGTGTATTTATCTAGATAGAGATCTAAGTTAAAAGGCTCTAAAATTTAAAAAAAAACCTTTCTAGGAAGCATATCTATTTCTAACCTGGATAGAGGTAAATGGAATTCAGCCATGTCTGTAAATATTAGTTCCTTTCACAGAGGCACCTGAGATGTCCAAGGCAGGCACGTGTACCCAGAAATACTGACCACCCAGACAAAAAGGGGACCGTCGTGGCGTGGTGACCCAGGTCACGTTTCCTCGGGCCATTCCTGAGCAGAGAAAGAGGCGTGATGGGACGAGCCCTGCGCCTGCAGAGGGTGCAACCTTGCCAGCTGCCCAAGGCCACTCTGGGAGCCCAGCTACTGTCCTTTCCGCCTGCTGACCAAGGCCCAACCCCTCTGGAACATAGCAAGTTATCTCCACCTCAGCCACGGCTACAGGTTCCTGACCCTCTTATTAAACTCTTCCACCTTAAACACCCCTTAACCTTCCGCCTTCCGTCCTGAAACTAGAAGAGATGTGAGTAGCTAATTAGATATTTTAGTCAGAGAAGAGAAGCTTTCCCCCATTTCCTGGTCATTTGAATAGAAAGAAAATCCTCAAGGCAAAGTCTTTACCTAAGGTTTGAGAACAACACTTACCTTGTTCAAGGCTAACCTGGCCCCAGTATCTGAATTTAAGTAAAGAGGTCTGGGGCCTATTAATCTAGGGCGGTGCTGGGGAAGCCGGGGTTGCTAAGCACTGCAGGCTGTGCGGGATGCAGGATTGCAAATGTTTCGTTGCTGTTTTTTCTGGGCCTCTCTGCCCGCTGGTGTGACCTTCGCCATCTGGAGGGAGGCTCGCGTTGTTTAACACGTGATCTCGGTGACCTTCCTTCCAGCTTCGGAGCAAAGACAGGGGCTCTCAGGTGAGAGCTGACCCCAGGCTCCCACCCTGACACCCCACACCGTGACTCCAACCTCCATCTGCTCATCCCTCCCGGGCAGAGAGCGTCACGCTCCCCGTGTTTGTCCACGGCGCCGCTCTTGACCTACGCCCCCTGCACCTTTGGTGTCTGAGCCCCTTTTGATCCCATCTCTCCCTTTATTCTATCTTATTCTCGCTCTCTCTCCACTGGCTCCTCCTCCAAAGACACGACACTCTCTCCTAATGGAAAAATAATCAGAACAATCTTCCCGTGTTGCACCGTTTTCCAGGCACTGGCCTGTCTTCTCGGCTTCCACTTACAACCCGAGTCACTCTTGGGGCAGAACTCGACTCAGCGCGTCTCCCTGCCCACACCCTCCCCACCTCCCCACCTGGCCTTTTCCTCCATCACTCTCCTCCGTCAACAGTAAAGACGCCGGTGGCTTCCTCCTTGTCAAATCCCGAGTCACTTGTGTGTATAAAGATGCCTCTTGGGCTTCATCCTTAGGGTTTCTCACAGGCCCTGAGTCCATCATCTCCCAAATGAACCTGTCACCGGCCCAGCACCCCGCCCCTGCCCCCGACACAAACCTTCTCTTCCTCCTCCAGCGGTCTTTGTAAATGGGACCATCACACTCCCTGGAAACTGGGAAGCTTCCTCACACGCACGGTCCCTTCCTGATGGTTCCTCTTCCCTACGGTAATGGGGAGCCCAGTCCCCCGTCCTCACCCAGCTCTCTCAAGTACAGATCTGCAGATTTAACTGACCCGAGGAGAAAGCCCAAATATTTAACTTGGGATAAAAGGATCGCCATCTCATCCTCACCAAAGCACAGCCTAAAAGCGTGGATCCCGCAGCTGTAACTCGCTGTGTGACCTCAGGCAAGACTCTCAACCTCCTGAGATTCCATCTCCTGCCTTGTAATCGGGGTTAATAGTGACAGTACCTTTCTGCTGGCATGCTGGGTACGCCAGGTATGCTCAGGTACGCAGAGGCTTTAGAAGAGTGCCGGGCGCACAGAAGTGCTGTGTGTACCTGTCAGTCTTGTGACTCACTGCCCACCGCTGCCTGCCAACCCCTCCTCCCCAGATACGCAAAGACGCTACCTGCCCGCCACAGCGAACAGCATGCAGGTTGCCAAACACTGCATGCCTCCACAACTTGGCTGTTGGTCCTTTTTTGACCTGCCAAGCTCTCATTTGTCCGGGGGACTCAGCTCAAACGTCACTTCAGCTGTGAAGTCTTCCCTCTTGCACCCGGGGCTTCCCCACTGAGACCCCACTGACCCCCTGAACTTCCCCTGTAGCGTGCATCTCTGCAATTACTGTTAAGTCAGAGAGTTGCCATGTTTGAGCCCGTATCCTGTGCCAGGCCTTCTTCTAAGTGCGTTAAGCTTCACAGCGAACCTATGAAATGCTGAAACAGCTGCTTCCTGGGTTTGTCTCTCCTTGATCGTGGAGTTCCTTACGGACAGGAGCCTATGTTTTGATCATGGGTGGGGGTCCAGCACGGTGCCTGGTACATGATGTGTGTGTGTGTGTGTATGTGTTCAGTCGCTCGGTCGTGTCCAACTCTGTGACCCAGTGGACTCTAGGCAGCCAGGTTCCTCTGTCCGTGGGATTCCTCAGGCAAGAATACTGGAGCAGGCTCTTCCTAACCCAGGGATCGAACCAGGGTCTTTTGTGTTTTCTGCATTGGCAGGAGGATTCTTTACCACTAGCTCTGCCTGGGAAGCCAGTGCATGGTAGGTGATGCATAGTTAAATAAATGTGTCTGAGCTGAGTCAATCAAAGATGAGCAGGACTCGGAGAGGGATGGGAACGTGCATGAATCCTGACACTGCAGGACACTGAGGAAGGGAAGGATGGTAGCCGGATCGGAAATTCATCAGTGCTATAAACAGAGACGGCTGTAATTGCCTCACGCCACCGTTAAGCTGCTACTACCTGAGTATTTTCTGTAGTGCCGACAGGTTAATGCGCTCTCATTCATTTCTGTAGTGTCGTATAATTTCAGGTCTTTCCAAGGACGTAATCATGCGATTCTTGATGATAGTTTATCCCGGGCTCTTGCTTCACGGGTCCCATGCCAAGTCTAAAAGTTTTGCAGGGCCCTTAACTCATGGGTCGCCCAGCTTTGATAAACCGTAGAGACACTCACCTTGGCAACATTTTCTTCTTGTTGGACACGAAATGGAAATTCACTACAATGTCATAGTTTCTATGCCGATAGTCTAAGCCCATAAACAAAAGCATTTTATTGCTTAATTGTTACAAAAGGCTGTGCTTTTTATAAGTCTAATATATATACGTGTGTGTATGTATATGGAATTCAAAGATATATGTGTTTCGATTTTAATTAACTTGTCTTCTCTACCATATCTCTTGAGCCCATAGTAAATTCTGTTTCACTAGGCAGCAACAATGGGTAAGATTAAAATTGTTTAAGGCATTGATTAGAATCTCTCTGGGTGGCCTTAAAGCTGCAGGGAGAGCCATGTGCCACCATGTGAGCGCCCCCCGGGGGTACCAGAGGAAATGGACCTGCCCAGGAAACTTACGTCCAGATCCTCAGTAAGTCTCTGGGAGGCTTCCGTTTAGCTTAAGCGAGTCCAATAATTTATAGGCTTCCCCAGTGGCTCAGTGGTAAAGAACCCACCTGCAGTGCAGGAGATGAAAGAGACACGGATTTGATCCCTGGGTCGGGAAGTTCCCCTGGAGGAAGAAGTGGCAACTAGTAGAGCAATTATCCTGCAGTAAAAAAATAAATTAATTAAAAAAAATAAGAAATGGCAACCCATCCCAATATTCTTGCCGGAATTTCCAATATTTTATAGAGAGCATATCTGCAGGATTTTTGGTCCCTTTTTGATTTCCTGGAGCACTGGATATGATGGGAAGTCTAATCTCACTGGGGTGGTGTTTTCTAAGGAACTACCACTGCTGGAACGAAGCCTGGATGACGAGGCCGGACCTTCCCGTGGGGTTTGGAGGTTGGCAAGTCGTGGACAGCACCCCCCAGGAAAACAGCGATGGTAAAGCCACATCCTCTCTCGGGGAAATCGTTGCATTCCTGATCTTTATATTTTGCTTTTATGATTGCATCTAACGTGTGGGAAACACGCCCGCCTGGTGGGAACCAACATCAGCCGGGTGCTTCTTGGACACGCACGGCATCAACTGCCCGCCAGCCAGGTTTAATTTCATTTCAGTGGCGGTCTTTACTTTGATTACTTTGTAACTTTTGGAGGGGGGGGGAAGCATAAAACTTAACATATATAATTCATCGACTCTTGCTTTGATAAGCAATTTTGAAGACAAGAGGAAAACTATTTGTGTAAGCACTTTCACTTGGCTATAAAGTATATTTCAGCCCTGCCTGACACACAGTGCTAAAATAGAAGGTGGTGAAGAAAATAAAGACCTCAGAAAATAATTATGGATCATTCTTTAAATTGCTATCTTTTCAGAACCTGATTTCTTTCCAGGCTGTGTGATTTCTTTCAAAACTTGAGTATGTGGATACTTGTCTTCTAATTTGCAAATTATGCTAAGCAGTGGCTTCTATGACACCCCCTCACCTTCAGATTTTTATAAAATCACATCATAAGCCTCCATTTCCCTTTAATATGATGATAAAAATCAGTGCCTAGGGGCATTATTTTTATTTCCCCAGGTACTGATGTAAGATATTGATGAACTAGCAATGAGATCTGGAATGCATGAAGTGTTAATAATACACCCTCTGATGTACAGCCCTCTGTCTCAAAAAACTTAACTGTGTCCTGGCCTCTAATGGATGGAACAGTTCTTAGAGCTGAGATGACCTTCCCGGGTTATAGTCCTCAAATGAGGCTCAAATGGAATTTTCCATTTCTTTCTTTAAAAAGGATATTGATGTGTGCATATACAGATATATATAAACATCCATTACATACTCATGAGAGAACATCAGGACAATACTGGATTTTGAGAGAAAGTTCAACACTTCCTCATGTTCTGGATTATATGTCATAAAGAGGTATCTGAGTGACGAATGGCAGCTAATCTCTTAGTAACAAGAGAGAGAGCTAGCTAAAATTCAAAATACTTTGTAAAAGTCGGTGTGGGCCTACTAACTTCCCAAAAGCACGTGGTCCATGTAGCATGGCTAGTATCCAGATTCTATGGTTAAACTTGACATGTGTCCATAATGTCTAAAAATGAAAGCAAACAAACAATACAAGTCCTGGGGACATGTCCCCGTTTCCAACATTCCAGATGCCACTTCTAACAGGATAAGCCCTACGTCAGCCAACAGCTCGGTCCCCACACGCTTGAGCCTGTTTGTAGTTGGAAGAGTAGATGCAGGAATGGTGTGCCCTTGGTTCTTTTCATGACTTTGGTCTGGGATTTGCAGAAGCATTTCTACCATGTCCTTCCCTGTTGATGGCGCATGATGGCCCACTCTGGCCACGGAAAGAACTGGGGCCGCACTGGTGATGACCTTGAGGAGTGATTGCCCCTACAGCCCGCTCAAGGCTGTGACCTGTATGCGGACCAGTTTTGTAACCAGAAAGACCCAGAGATGGGGGACTCACACTCTCCTTCCTCTGTGTGGTTCAGGGATGTATCGGTGCGGCCCCGCCTCTGTTCAAGCCATCAAGCACGGCCATGTCTGCTTCCAGTTTGATGCGCCCTTCGTTTTTGCAGAGGTAAGTGGAGCGTTAACCAGACACCGTTCCAACCTCCGGGTGCTACCTGCTCTATGCAGTTCTTACTTAACATTGTTCTTCCCTTGATGCTCTGAGATTTCTCCACCTGAAAGCAATTGCTTTAGTCACCTTAGCTTAGGTCTCTGTACCCAGGAAGTAGGTACCAACTGCTGCCAAGAAATTAAGTGACTAAGTGAATCACTGAACTAAAAATTGGTGGAGACCATCCACGAACTGACATGGGAGAGTGCCCTACTTCACTCTGAGACTAGCCCAGTGGGTCACACAAAATAAAATCCAAACACACCCCAACTGTGGTCTTAGTCTGGGAACCCCAGTCCGTTTCCTGCTATTCCAAGCCATCCTCTACCAGTGGGGACAGAGTAAGCCATTACAATACGGATGTGAGAAAACAGACCTGGAACACAGCTCACTGAGAGGTGGATGGGGGCACTTTGGGAAGAGGCGGAAATTCTGGAAGAACTGGGTGGAGGCTGGAAGCAGAGACAGCAATTCAAAGGTGCTTCAAGGGAGCTCTGAAAGTCAAAGTAAATGTAAGAACTACCAGGTAGAGGAGAAGGCCCGGCCGGGAGGCTGCCGGGGTGGGGAAAGGCGGAGGAGCAGAGAAACATGCGAGGTTGAGAGACGGGACTTACCCAGAGTATGATTTCACCAGTAAACGTGGTGAAATAACATCTACCACCATGGAATCACTTTGCCGACCGTTTGATGCTCTCAGCAACCCTTTAAAATGGCTGTTATAATTCTTCCCATTTTACAGGCAAAAAGTGATTAAGTAACCTTTCCATGATCATCTAACCAATAAAGAGTAGTGATAAGATTTAAACCCAGGCAAGCACCAGGTTCAATCCCTGGGTTAGGAAGATTCCCTGGAGAAGGAAATGGCAACCCATCCAGTATTCTTGCCTGGAAAATTCCATGGACAGAGGAGCCTGGCAGGCTACAGTGCATAGGGTTGCAAGAAGTCAGAAGTGACCGAGTGAATGAGCCCACATGTAGGCACCCAACCTTACGCTAGTAACCACCACATTCTGCTACTATTCTAGAATGAATACATATGTATTATTAATATGCATCTAACACTATGGGAATTCAGAAGCCTGAGTCCTTAAGAAACTTGATTCTTGATGGAGGTAGTGGTACGTAAACACAGCAACATTTAAAAAACAACAATGCGAGTGTTACTACGGGAGCAAAGGTCAAACGAGTGATGTGGGTGATAAATGACCCGCATTTATGTTAACTGAGAAATCCGAGCTAGGACTGCCGCAGGACAGCAGAGACCAGCAGGCCCTGTCCTGGGAGAGGGCGGCGGGGACAGACACAAGGATATCTGCGTGATGGCCACAGTGGATCCAGTGGAGTGTCACAGAGCCCATGGAGGGGAGGGCCGGGGGTGCTCCCTGGAGGGAGTGGAGCCTGAGCCGCGTCGACATACAACTAGTGGTTATTCAGCTTTCCTGGTGGCTCAGTGGTATCCACCTGCAATGCGGGAGATGTGGGTTCGATCCCTGGGTCAGGAAGAGCCTCTGGAGAAAGAAATGGCAACCCACGCCAGGATTCTTGCCAGGGGAAATCTCATGGACAGAGCAGCCTGGCGGGCTTTACAGCCCTTGGAGTCACAAAGCTCAGTGACTGAGCACAGGCAGATAAGACCGCATTCAGGCAAAAGAGGTGAGGGAAAAAAGCCAGAGGAAGGAAGGAATTCCAGACAGAGGAGAAAACTTGAGCTTCCAAAAGGTACGTGCAGACAATTAGGAACTATTCAGGAACCTGCCTGGCGGTCCAGTGGGTAAGACTCCAAGCTCCCAGTGCGAGGGGGCGTGAGTCTGATCTTAGGAAGCTAAGACCCCACATGCCCTGCAGCACGGCCAAGAAAACATCAAAAATAAATAAATAAAAAGGAAAAGCATCGAGGCTCACGAACAGTGATGTGTTGGGAGGTGTCAGGTGGTGACCGCTGAAGAACCTAGACGTGGGACACTGTGAGCTGAGAATGGACACGAGAGGCTTCCCAAGGGGAAGGAGAAGGAACGGAGCCTGTTCATCCCAGGCTGGACGGGAAGGCCTCTGGGCAGAAGCCCCGGGGCGGCCTGACTTCACGCCGCGCCTGAATCAGGTGAGGGATGACAGGTGGCGAAGGAGAAGGCCAGCCTGGGAATGTCTCAGAGATAAAATAAGAATAAACAGGCAGACCCCAAAACCAAACATGTGAATTACACGAAAGGAACAAGGCGTCTTCCACTGTACCTGCCGCCGCAGTTTCTAGAAGCCTTGGGAGAACAGGCAGACTGTATTCGGGATTTTCACATGCTGCATTTCGTTTTGAGATTTCAAGACTTGTGCTATCCTCCCCAACTGCCATCTGATCTTTTCCCAGGCCATGAGGACTTCTTAACGGGAAATCTTTCTAAAACTCACTAAGCCTTGTGTTTGTAGTTTTATTATGCTTTGTTGCTGCGGAGGAGAGAGGAACAGACTCCCTCCAGGAGCAAAATGCCTAATAGCTGCTAATGCAAACGCTTTCCGCTGTTATTAAGTATAGATCGGGGTGTTGTGAGTGTCACTGGGACCCGCAGATCGCAATTATTCCTCTCTCACCCAATGCAGCCTTGTCTGACAGCACACACGATTTGTTGCTCTGGTGCGGGCTGGGCTCCGGGGCTGAGCCCTTTGTAAGAGACGCTCAGATGGCTGAAAAGTGCATGAGGAGTCAGGATGCTTCTCTCAGGGGTCCTAAAGCAGGGATCCGTGGGGGGCGTCATCCTGACTTTAATGAGCACCTGCCTGGCTCGGGTCCCAGACCACTGTGCTCCCCCTTCCCGCCTCCTCGCTGCGTCAGCCTGCTTCTTGCCACCCCCGCTACGTCTGCCAGAATGTACCTACTCTTGCTTCCCAGCAGGCCGGCTTTCTTGGTCACTCTTGACTCATTTCCGGGCCGGATCAGGCCTTCTGCTCGTGGACCAGCTTTTGGTTTCCTCGCTGAGTGAAAGCAGAAGCCCAAAGGAGAGCTGTGCACAAAAGCACCCACCTCTGCACTTTTCCCATCTCCAGATTTCTTCCTGGGATCGGGGCTTCTTTCTCTGCCACCCTCCATCCTCTTGCCCTCAGCCCTGCGGTGGGTTTCTTCTGCCTGCTCTGGAGGTTCCCAGAGAGGGCAGAGCAGGTCTCAACGTCTGCGGCTCCCTTCCCGGTCTGGGTCACTGAGCATTCGGAGTTGCTGCCTCTCTTCTGTCTAAGCTGCTTCTAACTGTTGTCCCCTTCACTTCATCCCACCAAACTCACACACACTCACACACACACTCACATGCTTGCACACTCACACACACACGCTCAAACACACACATGCTTGCACACTCACACACACTCACATTCACACATTCTCACACACACTCACAGACACACACACAGAGACACATTCACATATATTCCCTCACACATTCACACTCACACACAGACACACACACCCTCCCTCCTGGCACTGAGGTGGTTCTTGCAGCAGAAGTGACGGGCCGCCTGGGGTCACCATCACCGCCTCGTGGCTCCAGGAGCCGCGCCTTCCCTAGTCTGGGGCCGGCAGTTCTCCGGACTCAAACTGTCCAACAGCTTCTCTGCTGATTCTTTGGCCTCAGTTCAAGGTTGTTTATTTCACTACCAGTTATCAGATGCAGTACATTTGGGGATATCTTAAAATAATTCACCCGTTCGTTCAAATCACATATAAAACTCTGGAATCATCTTGGCTTCTCTTTCTAACCTCCCTTAAGCATTTTGCCAGAAATACCTTCCAATTATCCCAGATCCAGGCGTGCCTGCGCCTCCATCATGACCCTCTGAGCTCTGGACCCCTCTGAGCTCTGCGACATCACGTCCTAACTCATTTCTTCCTCCTTGCTTGCCCCTCTCCAGGTTACTCTCCACAGAGCAGCCAGAATTACCCTTTACAATGTGAATAAAAACATGCCACTCCCCTGCCAAACCTTTGGATGGATTCCCACCACGTTTACAATCAAGCATAAATCTTTACAAGATTTCTGTGATCTATGAGATTCTGTGTGATCCGGCCCCTGGTTTCCCCTCCACCCCCATCCCTTGCTCATGTGTCTCCAGCCACATGGACCCCCTTGCTCTTCTGGGAACATCACAGACTGTTCCTTTGGCCATGAAAGCTTTTGTCCCACCCTCTACCCCTCTCCGCATGTTCTGCACCCTCACTGCGTCCAGGTCTCTGCTCAGCCCACCTCCTTGAGGAGACCTCCACTCCCCACGTCTCCCACATGGAGCAGCCCCACCCGTCCCACTGTCTCTGTTCTCTGACTTAGTGTTATGGTTTCCCTCCCTTCTATAACGTAAGTTCCTCGGAGATAGCATCTGCCGGACTCTCGTCGCTGAAAGCGGGGTCTGGCACACAGAAGCCACCAGTACACGGATGAGTGGATAATAGAAAGAAGAGTGTGTGCCCGGTGCACTGCTGAGAACAGGGTCTCAGGGAGACGGGGGCCAGACGGCACCCTCACGCCCGGGCCGTCCTGGTGGGAGATGAGCTCACGTGTGCCGCAGCAGGGCACACGCACAGGAGCCCCTACGGATGAAGGAAGGCAAGCACAGGGTGGACGTCTGGCAGTGGTGCCAGGAAGGCTCCCAGACAGGCAGGCATCCGCTGCCCCCCAGCCCCGTGAGCCCTGGGAGCAGCAGCACCTTCTCCACCACCTGTGACGCAGCTGCCTCCACTTGGGAACAAACGAACAGAGCAGACTCTGTCCTGGGTCCTGAAAACAAGAGCCTCCACCGTGAGCGCTGAGAAGTGGACACACGTTTACAGTCCATGGGCACAGGCGGGAGTTTGTAGAGAGGCCGCTCTAGCCTGAGGACCTGGCCCACCCTAGCTGAGCCCCCCGGGGGCCCTGAAACATCCAAACACGTCCTCACATTGGTCTTTACACATACTGCTCCTCCTGCTAGGAAAGTCAAGTGTGAGTCACTCAGTCATGTCCAACTCTTTGAGATCCCATGGACTATATAGCCTGCCAGGCTCCTCTGTCCATGGAATTTTCCAGGCAAGAATACTGGAGTGGGTAACCATTTCCTTCTCCAGGGGATCTTCCCCACCCAGGGATCAAACCCAGGTCTCCTGCATTGCAGGCAGATGCTTTACCGTCTGAGCCACCAGGAAAGCTCTCCCATTATTTCCCATCTCACTTTGGAAGTGCCTGTGTTGTGTGACCATAGCCCTTCAAATCTATGTGCAGGACTAGATGGTCTCTAAGACTCCTTTCCACTCAGAAGAAATGAAACATAGGACTTTCACAGGTGGTTCTGATCTACTTGCAACCTTGCAAGGAAGGTTGCAGGCTCAGAGACGTTCGGTAACTTGCCCGAAATCACACAGCCTAGGTCCAATGCTTCTTCCACTTGTGACCGTCCTACCACGGAGATGCAACTGGTCTTGGATAAACTTTCTAAGCTCCTAGGTGCTTCTCATTTGCAATCAGGATGGAGAGCCATCACACTAGTGGCTGAAACTGAGAAGAAAGCTTGCAGATGTCTCCTGGAAAGAATCCTTTCCCTCCAACCCGCCCCCTACCTACATGTGCAGAAGTCACTTCATGTGTGTGTTTCTCCTCTCCTCTCCCCACAAGGGACAGTGTGGTGGGCCGGCCTGAGGTTTCAGCTGATATAATCACTGCTGACCGTGACTTCAGCCACGAAATTAAAAGATGCTTGCTCCTTGAGAGGAAAACTATGACATAGGTTTTCCATAGTGTATTAAAACGCAGAGACATCACATTGCTGACAAAGGTCCATATAGTCAAAGCTATGATTTTTCCCGTAGTCATGTACGCATGTGAAAGTTGGACCATAAAGAAAGGTCAGCACCGAAGAATTGATGCTTTTGAACTGTGGTGTTGGAGAAGACTCTTGAGAGTCCCTTGAACAGCAAGAAGATCAAGCCAGTTAATCCCAAAGGAAATCAACCTTGAATATTCATTGGAAGGACTGATGCTGAAGCTCCAATATGTTGGCTACTTGATGGGAAGAACCTACTCATTGGAAAAGACCCTGATGCTGGGAAAGTGTGAAGGCAAGCAAGAGATGGTGAAAGACAGGGAAGTCTGGTGTGCTGCAGTCCATGGGGACTTAGCGACTAAACAACAACAAAAAATTTCCTAAGCTTTGCTCAAGAGAAGACAAGGATCTAGCCAGTTCCACATGCAGCCGTGTCTCCCTGGAAAACTGAAAGCAGTCATAAAGACTCTTTATTAAGAAGAGGTTTGTCATCATTGTTGCTATCACTTGCAGCTGAGGAGGAAGTGGTCTGTGCCTGCATGGCCTCCTCCAGGGGGAAACCTGAGGCACTCAGGAAGCTCGCTTAAAGTTTCCTTAAATTTTTTTGCCCAAAATGAGAAATACTCCTTAAGTGTCTGCTCCGTCTGCTCCTGTCCTGATTCCTGATTCCACGTTTAGTCTTTCACACCATGTGCCAAGTACCGCCAAGCCCTGGACACCGCACGGAGGAGCAGGGCCCACGCCTTCATCCTCAGAAATCTGAGGCAGGGCAGGACAACCTGGACCCCAGCCTGGGACCTCCCACTTCGTGGTGCTGTGGTCCTTTGAGGTCAGGCAGGAGAGGTGGTGTCCTGTGAAAATCCAGCAAAAAAATATGGGCCACCCTGCAGGAAGGTCAGGCTGTGTGCTCAGACCACCCTGGGTGAAGATGAGGGCCTGTGCGATGCCCACCCAGGGGAAGAGCCGGGACGTGTGCCATGGGCCCGCACCTGCTCCGGCTGCACTTCTTCTCCACAACCTCCCAGTATGTGTGTGACCACAAACACTCTGCTGGCCCTCTGACTCGTAATGCCTCATCTATAAAACAGAGATAATAGTCCCTACTCATAGGATTGTTGTGGTGGGGTTTAAATTAAATCATTTAAAACGTCCTGAAACATTATGGATCAATAAATGTTGATTGCTTACTTTCCCCTGAGCAGAGATCAGACTTCTTGTAAATTCAGAAATTTGTGAGAAGGTAGAGAAAATTTGCTCTCTTAAACCTCATCTTTAACCTCATCAGATTTTCCCAATACCTGGCAATGATCGTTGCATTTTACTCGATTTTGATGTTTGCTAATCTAAGTGAGAATCACATTTACATAGATTTTACCTCGCTCGGTCCCAGAGTGTTCCCGTGAAACTGGCAGAGCAAGTGTGATTATTTTCATTTTCTAGAAGCAGGAATGAGGTCCCCAGGGTAAGGTGTGTACTTTCTAACAGTGCCCACTCAAGATCAGAGCCCATGCTCCCTGCAGCTGACCCCATGCCTTGTCGCTGCTGGTCTCTCTGCCTATCACGGGCTTCCTTCTCTCCATTCATTATTTTAAGCTTTAATGGGGTAGCATTGATATTCAGAATGCAGACGTTTAGTGTATACATCTTGATGGATTTGAACATATGCATATACCCAGAAGAAAAAATATTTCCCAGAAGCCACCCAGCAGACTGCCTCTCCTCTCTAGAAGTAGGTCACTCCGTTACTGTCAGCTTAAAAGAAGCTTGAGAAAGAGAGTAACAGACGGGTGCTTTCTGTTCTGCCTTAGGAGGTAGAGTTTACCAGCAAGAAAAAGGAATGAAAGAAGTGGTTGGTGCTTGAAACGACTTAGCCGGGTGGATAATGTCACCTGCAGGGCTCTTAGGCACTACACTGTTGAGTTAGGCATCTTGGTGACAAGCACGTTTGACGATGCTAACGGCCTCCTCTCCTGCTTTTAGGTCAACAGTGACCTTGTTTACATTACAGCTAAGAAAGATGGCACTCATGTGGTTGAAACCCTTGATACCACCCACATTGGGAAATTAATTGTGACCAAAGAAATTGGAGGAGATGGCATAAAGGACATCACAGATACCTACAAATTCCAGGAAGGTAAGCTACTGCAGTCGAATGAGGATCTCTCTGTCCAAGTCCGCTTCATTGTGACAGTCACCGTCACCATGAAATGCGTTCCGGAGAAGGCATGGCCTTTTGCGGCACTGAAAAGTTGGAACTCGATCAACTACGCCTCACACCCACAATTTTTCATTTCGTTTTAGTTTTACTTGTTTGCTTTGAGCAGAATTCCCCTTTACATGGCTTCTGAAATAATTGGTTTAAAGTCACATCTGTTTTAACAGAATATAGAATGTGTTCTAATTCATAAAAATAGGAAAGAATCTTAATTTTAATCTTAATAGAAAACATTACATAACTAATGTAATTTTAGTTCAATAATGAATTTTAAATAGCTATTCAGTTATTTGCTCTTGGTGCTATTTAGTCGCTAAGTCATGTCTGACTCTTTGTGACCCCGTGGACTGTAGCCCACCAGACTCCTCTGTCCGTGGGATTCTCCAAGCAAGAATACTGGAGTAAGTAGCCATTCCCTTCTGCAGGGGATCTTCCCCACCCAAGGATGGAACACATGTCTCCTGCATTGTCAGGCAGATTCTTTACCACTGAGCCATCTGGGAAGCCCTCACATTTGTTTAGAACCTTGCAAACTTTTTTCATATGCATTGTTCCATTGAAGTATCGTGGAAATTCCTTGATAGGAAGGATAGGGAATATAAACGGATGTAGGTAATATAAAATGAATAGGACATGACCACTTCACTAATTCAGGCCAAACAGGGTGAAGTCTTGTTTCAACCATAAAACAACACTAAGGTGGTTTTGTTAACCTTTAGCGTGTGGAGTGTTTCCCATGGAGCTGTTGAGTTCAGTCCCATCTCAGTCACTGCTAAGTGTCTACTGTATGCCTGAAACTGTGTTTGGTGCTCGGCATCCCCACAGTGAGAAGGGCCCAGTTTCTGTTTCTGGCCAAGCGATAGGTTCATTCTGCTGAAGGGGCTTTGAAAACAAAAAGGGATGCTCAGTCCAACCAGGAGATTCAGAAAAAGCAAAGCCCAATCAGAGAAGTCACAGACCTCAGTTAAAGGAAGCTGGACTGAGGCTTCTAGAAGGTGGGAACAGGACAAAGGCATGGGGTGTGAAGCAGCAAGTGTGTTTAGGGTCCTGCAGGTAAAGAATCCGCCCACAATGCAGGAGACTAGGGTTCGATCCCTGGGTCAGGAAGATCCCCTGGAGAAGGAAATGGCAACCCACTCCAGTACTCTTGCCTGGAGAATCACATGGACAGAGGAGCCTGGAGGGGCACAGTCCATGGGGTTGCCAAAGAGTCAACATGACTTAGCAACTGGACAACAAGGCATTACTAAAGCACTGGGCTCAGAGCGCCCAGAGGCTGGAGTGAAAGTTCCCCAAGGTCGGTCGTGGACAGGAGGTAAAGGAGCTAGGGGGTCTTGCTGGGGGCATGGATGATAAGTTACAAGTGATTCACCACCAGAGCGTCTTAGGAATGGCACTTATTTCAGTGAATGGATAAAAAATGGAGAGTAATTAGCATACACCTGAATATTCATCAGTATTTCTGAAATGCTGAGTGCAGAATGCGTTTTAAATATTTTAGATCTGCTCCCTACTCTTGTTTACAAAAGCGATTTGCACTATAAAGAGAAAGTTTGCTGAATTGAGAACTCTTCTGCACAGTATTAGAAATTCAGGATTTGTGTCACCTGAAGCAGTGAATTTGTGCTGTGCTCCTGAAATGGTTAGTTCTTCTCTTCTGTCGGCTTTCATTCACTGCACAACAAATACAAAAGATTTTTTTCTTTTTGACTTTTTCTTTTCTAGAAAGAGTGTTTTTTAAAACATAAACACTGTGAAACAGAACAGATGAGCAATGCCCTTTTGTGATAGAGTGTCAGGCAAAAAGGTTTGGAAAGGAAAAGGAGTCCACGAAAGAAGTGAAAGAAACTGGCTGCAACACTCATTCATGCATGCATCCTTCCAACAACTTACTGTTAACCACCCACCATATTCCCAACACTGTGTCCACCTGGAGACTCCCACAGTCCTGTCTCGCCATCTAAGGGAGAGACAGGCAGGAAGTGAATCCTCACCTTGCCGGGTGGTGGGTGCCCAGGACAGGGGTAGATGAACAGATGCCCGGGGACCATGGAGGACGTTAGCAGTGCACTATATTCCTTGTGTTGTATGTGTATCGTTGTAGCTTATTTTACACGTAATGGTTTGGACTTTTGAATCTCCTGCTCTCTCTTGCCCCTCTCCCCTCCCCTCTTCCCACTGGTAACCTCTAGGCTGTTCTCTGTGTCTGTGAGTCTGCTGCTCTTTTGTTATATTTATTAGTCCATTTTTCAAGATTCCACATGTGATATCATACGTTCTCAATCTGACTTATTTCACTAAGCATAATACCTTCCCAGTCCATCTATGGTGCTGTAAATGGCGGGTTTTCATTCTTTTTTATGGCTGAGTAGTACTCCATTATGTATATTCACCACATCTTCTTTAACCATTCATCTCTTGCTGGACACTTAGGTTGCTTTGAAATTCTTTCTTCTCTTTGTTCCTATGACACAGCTTTCTCCTGATTCCATCTCAATCTACCTCTTTTTTCTATCTTTTTCTGCAACTCAGAGCTCCCCTTTCTTCACCCCCTCAGAATGTCATTCCATTCTAGTCTTCACTCCTACCCTCTGGCTGCTGTTAACGTGCACACACATACTGATTCTCCCAAGTCTGTCTCCAGCCTAGACCTACTTTTAAGCCCAGCACTCACCTAAATGTCCCATAGGAACCTGAAGCTGAACCTTCCCAAATGCCACCTTCTCTCATTCCCTCCCCACCCCAGATCTGTTTCTCCCACACTTCCTGCTCCAGAGAAGAGAACCGTGATCCGCCCAAACTCAGCACGTTGAGAATCCGCCAAGCAGAACAGCTCCTAAATGTCCTCTTCAAACAGTTCGCATCCATCTCCTCCCCTCCATCTCCATGGCCACTCTCTGAGAATCAAATGGCATCGGGCTTGGAAGCCCTTTGGCGTCATCCCTGATATGTAGTAACTGACCAATAAAAGCCAGTTTCCACTATTACAAGTAATTCTGTTATCACTGCCCTGGCCTACTGTTAGCTTGGGCTGTGACAGTTTTCTGCTGGATGTCTGCGATAGTTTCCCAACCCCACCTTCTCTCCTTGCTCTCTCCTTCCCTCTGTCTATGCCATTGCCTCCAAAGCGACATGTTTAAAATATAAATCTCAGCCTGTAGCTGCTTAAAAGCCCTCACTGTCTTCTGTTGCTTCCAGAGTATTCCAACCATTGCTCGCCAAGCCTGTGCTAGCTGCCTTTGCGCCCCCTCGCCGCGCCTCCTGACCACACAGGGGCCAGAGCAGCAGGCAAGAGAGCTGCCTAAGGTTCCTCCAGCAAGCCAGCTCCCACCTGCCTCCATGCCTTTGCTCTCGCTGGGGAGAGAAAAACCCCTCTGAGAAGCTGCCCCTGCCCCTGGGGGTGTCACGTTTCTGCCCCGTGACCCCCAAGCTACACCCGAGTGTCTGACCCAGCATTCATGATGACACGCGTGTTGTGAGCCCTCTTCATCCCCCCGTGTTCCTCACCTGAGCCTAGCACGGTGCCTGGACATCACAGGCGCACATCCAGCATGAGACGATCAAAGGAGTGGCGGCTCAGGCAGCACCTTCACAGGTGAGCCTAACTGGACATCCGATGTCCGCCACTGGACTATTCCTTGTCTGCTACAAAGAAAGCAAGTTTGTCTCTGGATGAAGGCAAAGTGCTTCTCCAAACCCCAGTCCTCCAGAGCCTCTATACCAGGCTGGGTCCTAAGTCCTGGGGATGAGGAGCTTACCTCCTCCCGGGGGATGTCACAAAGTGACAAGTACTGGGAAAAGGAAAGAAGACCAGGTCATGTTAGTGAGAGACGAGAGGACCAGGGTCATGGAAGTCGGGGGGCACCCTGAGAAGCTGACATTTGAGCTAAGATCCAAGTGACGAGAAGAGACTTCCTCAGACATAAAGGGGGCTCTCATGACATCCAGGTCATGAGAAGGTGGTTTTGACCTTGGTTCTGAGCCACAGAGGAGCTGTGGGAAATGTGATCTGGCTTTAGATCTTTCCCTCAGCCCCTCATTCATGGCCCTGCATTGTGTGCGCCATCAGAGCACAGAACAGAACTGCAGAGAGCGGGCGTTCTGCCAAATTAGGGAGGCCCTGCGGTTCCTGCCTCTTACCTGGGCCTGTGCTTCCTGGCAACCCCAGCCAGCCTCGCTGCTCACGGGGACGAGCTGGTCCCCAGAAAGAAGCCAGAGCTTCCTCCATCTGTGACCCACAGTGAAGTCCCTCCTGGTGCCAGAAGCTTCCACTGCCCCTCCCCCACTCGGTCGGCTCAGCCTTTCCCAGTGGAGGGACCTCTCTGCCCATGACCATGTTCCCCCTGCTGGTGCCCGCCTCCTGCATTCTGCCTAAATGCATATTTGGTGCCCGTCCAAAGCGATAATCATTAATGCTCTCTGTCTTGGGGAGCTCTTTGCCAGATGCTTTCTGCTAAAATATTTCACTGCACTTTGCTTATCACGGCCCCCCCCCCACCTTTCCTTTAGAATTATCTCCCTCTTATCGATTGTAAACATGTGCCCTAGCCAATGCTTGTCCTGGACCAGTTGTTTCTGGCTCATTCTTGCAGTCTTGACAAGCAGGGAAATTGCCAGCGCGCACGTACACACACACACAGAGAAATACACATTCACTTGGTTGGCAACACCTGCTGGCATTTTCTCTGTCTCTGAAAGGTCCCGGAAGCTTCTCATTCTTATGCACGTCCTACCTCTAAACCACCTATCAACCCTGCCACACAAGGAAACCGACAGTAGTAATAGCGCCTGCTTGGCAGAGTCGTTCTGAAGAGGAGACAGCATACAACATACACCTCCCACGACACTCGTCACAGTTGTCGCTGTTCAGCCACTAAGTCGTGCCCAACTCTGTGTGACCCCACGGACTGCAGCATGCAGGCCTCCCTGTCCTGCACCATCTCCCGGAGCTTGCTCAAACTCACGTCCATTGAGTCGGTGACGCCATCCAACCATCTCATCCTCTGTCGTCCCCTTCTCCTCCCGCCTTCAATCTTTCCCAGCATCAGGGTCTTTTCAAATGAATAAGCTCTTCGCCACAGGTGGCCAAGGGGTTGGAGCTTCAGCTTCAGCATCAGTCCTTCCAGTGAATATTCGGGGTTGATCTCCTTTAGGATGGACTGGTTGGATCTCCTTGCAGTCCAAGGGACTCTCAAGAGTCTTCTCCAACACCACAGTTCAAAAGCATCAGTTCTTCAACACTCAGCTTCTTCATGGCCCAGCTCTCACATCCATACATGACTACTGGAAAAACCATAGCTTTGACTATATAGATCTTTGTTAGCAAAGTGCTGTCTCTGCTACCTGTCAAGGTTAGCTCTTAATGATAACTGTTATCATCATTGATTGACCTCTTCATCTCTGTTGCATTTCATTGTTAAGTAAAGTGGGAGAAAACAGCTTAAGAATTAATGTAACTATAAAACTCAGCATTTTTATTTCAAAGTGATTCTTCTTTTGCTAGCCACTGGCAGGACTGGGTTTTGTTTTTGGGGTTTTTTAAGGTTTATATTATTTATTTATTTCCTGCATCTTCGTTGCTGCGCACAGGCTTTCTCTAGTTGCAGAGAGCAGGGGCTCCTCTCTTAGTTGTGGCTTCTCTTGTTCTAAGCGGAGGCTCTAGGCACATGGATTCAGCAGTCGTGGCACGCAGGCGTCGTAGCTCCAAAGCCTGTGGAATCCTCCCGACTCAGGGATCGAACTCACGTCTTCTGCATTGGCAGGTGAATTCCCATCCACTGAGCCGCAGGGAAGCCCCAGGACGAGATTTTACAACCCAAAGCATTTGCCTCTATCTCACATGTGCACTGAGATACATCCAGAGGAAGTCAGACAGTGAAGACTACTGAGGCGGGTCAGCCCAGCCTAGAGCCGTCAGCAGCAGGCTCTGACCCCGGCTTGCACCTTCTCAGCTCCCCACGTGCGCAGAGCCACTTTTTCATTCTTCCACCTCTCACTTTCTTCCCATCTCTACCACCATCCCCACTTTGGAAACCCTACTTAAGACATTTTCCTAAAAACAGCACCCATGTCTCAAACTCCCCCACTGGATACCAAAAGGTGTCCCTCAAAAAAGATGTGTTTGGTGTCAGATGAGTTTGGGAAACCTTGTGTAAAAGTAAAGAATTCTCAAGACTTCCCTGGTGGCCCAGTGGGTTAAGACTTTGCCTTCCAATTCAGGGGTGAGGGTTCGATCCTTGGACGGGGAGCTGAGATCTCACATGCTTCCGAGCTAAAAATCAAAACATAAAACAGAAGCAATATTGTAACAAATTCAATAAAGACTTTAAAAGGGGTCCACATAAAAAAATAGCCTTAAAATAAAAGTAATCAAGCCTCCCCAGGGTTGGGCTCCATCTCAGAACCTTGGCCAGGCCAGTGAATGCTGTGGACACCCAGGAGACACCACAGCATAGTGGGGACTGGACCTCTGAGCCTTCTGCGGGGGAGGCTCGTTCTCACTGAGCTGAGTGCAGGGGCCGGGTGCTACTTGGGGAGCATGACCTCTGCACCCCGCTGGAGGTACGTGACAACGGAGAAAGCAGAGCGGGGCGGGGCGGCATAGGCCAGGGGGCGGGTCAGCGGCAGCACGTGAGACAGGCCCAGGCGGAAGGAGACAGGAGGAGACGGGTCTCGCCGGCCAGACCCACGAATGGGAGAAAACTCACGTTGTAGACGGTGAAAGCCAAGGTGGAACTCCTCCAGCGGCGTGGCTAGGAATCTGGGAGGGGAGCAAATAGATTCCGCAGTGTGAGAGAGTTAGGTTTTGTCTGCTCTGCCTGATGAGCCCTGAAACAGTGGCCGTGGAAACACAGCCCCGTAGAGTAAGCTCTGTCGCAGCCCCTGTTCAGACAGATCGAAACCAGCAGCGCGGGCAGGTTGACTCTCTGGGAACTTGATTTTGCAGAATTCATAACATAGGAGGATGAAGATCCCCATAAAGGGAAGCCGGGTGGCTTGCAGAGGCAACCCAGCAAGTCCAGCTCGTGCCCCTGCAGCCCTCTGTTCATTAGGGTGACTTTCTCTGGGGTGGCTGGCGTTCCTTTGTCCTCAACTCTGCACCTCTCCTAGGTCAAGAAGAAGAGAGGCTGGCCCTGGAAACCGCCCTCATGTATGGGGCGAAAAAGGCCCTCAAAACAGAGGGCGTCCTCAAATCGAGGTCTGACGTGCACATGAACTTCGAAGTGGAGAACGCCCTGCTGGGCAGAGACCTCAAGGTCGTCATCACCTTCCGGAACAACAGCTCCACCCGCTACACTGTCGCAGCCTATCTCTCCGGCAACATCAGCTTCTACACCGGGGTCTCCAAGGCGGAATTCAAGAGCGAGACATTCGACGTGACCCTGGAGCCCTTGTCCTGTAAGTTGACGAGGGGTCTGCTCCCTCCAGGATGTGGGAAGAACACTGCACACATCACTAGGTTGTTGATGCACCCCCTCACACACACACAAACCTTTGTTTAGGGCCTACGAGTCCAGATAATATTTTGTGCTGGTGACACAGCAGAGTTGCTCTTGGAGTTGATGGTCTCCTGGAGGAAAGATGGGGTCTGGACACAAAACAGTCAAACAAGCGAATATACGTGGTTCTGCATGGAATAGGAAAATATGAGGCAGAGTAAGGAAGAGGTGAGGTGAGGTGCAGGGTGATCAGGGAGAACCTCTCTGACAGGGTGGCGTTTAACAGAAACCTAACAGAAGGGAAAGAATGAGCTTTCCAGCCAGAAAAAAAAAAAAAAAGAGCGAAGGCCCTGAGCCCAGGGTGAGCTGTGTGATGTGTTCGTAAGCAGCAAGGGGACCAGGATCAGGAACAAGGGCGTCAAGAGGATGGGGGGTACCGACCCAGTAAAAACTTAGAGGACTCTGTGAGGACTTTGGTTTTGATTCCAGTGACCTGCAGGGCCACCAGAGGGTTTTGAGCAGAAGCATGCCCTGGTCCGACTTGGGTTTGAAAGACCACTCTGGCTGCTGTGTTGAGAACAGACCATGGGGGCCGTGGAGCTGAGCTTTCAGAGTAGTTATGATGCTCTTGCAATAGTTCCGAGAGAGACGGTGAGTGGGTGAGCGAGGTGCTGAGAGCCGTCCGGTCTGGGCGTGTTCTGAAGGCCGAGCTCTCGGGACTGGCTGACCGGTTGGGTGTGTGACATGAGAGGAGGCTGTGGAGGAAACTATAAACAAGATAATATGTATGGAAGGTTTCCCAATGGTAGGCTGTCAGTACGTGCTAACTTCCAATATGTCCACGCTTCGGGAAACTGAGACCAGAAAAAGTGAGCTGGCGTGTTCAAGGTCACACATGGCGGTCAGAAGTAAAGTGGGTACCGGAAGCCTCATGACATTCAGGCAGGGATGGGGAGCCAGCTCTAGGCATCCTTGGGCCCTAAGGGGGCTAGTTCCTGTTCTCGGGTCCCGCGGCCCCTCAGTCCCCCGGACAAGGACCTGTACCCTGTCCTCCTCTGACCACTAGAGTCCCACCTCAGTCTTCTTCCCCTCCTCTCCCTGACCAGCAAAAGCATGAGCTCACCTGAGTAGCGGACTAGAACAGCCTGATACCTTAGCCGTCTCAGTCATCCACCCCAGGACGTGGAGCCCGACTCAATATCAACGCAGCTCCCACCACTCAGCCCACCCCAGGCTTGTCCTGAATAACTTGAAGGGAGTCGGAGACTGTTTTTTGCTTTACCCTGCAAGCAGGTGGCACTAACTGCATGCAATAAGCTGCCCATTGCAACTGAAAATACATTGCAGTGTATTTGCAAAAAGCCACAGGATCCTAGACCTTGATCAAGCAGGTCAGGGTGCAGTCTGTTGTCAGAGGGTGTGTTGCAGAGAAAGTTTTCCAAGGAAAACAGGAGCCATGTTTTCCAGATTGATGATTAAAGGAGATGTGTGAGCTAGAATCAGCTGGGAAGATTTGAATAACTTAAACCTTTCAGTATCTGCAAGGGTGCTATGCCTTCCACTCGGCTATATTTAGTTTTCTTTGCATTTTTGAAAAAGAGACGAGGCAGCCCCTGTCTGTGTCTCCCTTGGCTTTCCCCAGACACCATCAATGGTACTGGCAGGATCCCAGCTCCACCACTCAGAGAATGAAAACCTATTCTTCTTTCTCTTGCCACGTTTAATAAACTTTATCTAGAACAATTTTTTGTGCAGTGGCAAAACACAGCACTTACATAATGTGCTATTTTAGGAGTCTGTTCTCTGGGGCTCAGAAACACAGCCCAGCTTCTTCAGTGCTAAGATTTAGAGGATATTCCACCTTAAAGAATAAAGAGACCCGAGGCCAACAGGATCAAGGCAGAGTCAGTCTCTGTAAAGTTGTCAGGCACATCTCAGCAGCCTAGACATCCCGGTGGTCCAACGCGGCCCTCTAGAAATACCAGAGGGTGTCCATTATTATTATTACCGGAGGCTGCCAGAGGCAAAATGCATGTTGAAGACCTCTCACTGTGCCGCCCCATCTGACTCCAACTGGCCAAGTGGAAACAGGTCACACATGCTCATCTGAGATTGTCTCCAATTGAAGGACAGAGTTTCAGTCTTCTGGACAAGTCACTGCTCTGGGAGCCATGGGGGGAGCAGAGTCCATGCTCAGATGCAAAGAAGGCAGTAGGTGTGCATCACCCAAAACGGCAGAATTCGAGGGTCAAAGTCAAGGCAAGTTCATGGATTCAAAAGGCGGCCCTCAGAAGGATGGGACTGCTCCAGGAAGTAGGCTGAGTTGTTGAGTGCTTCTCTAGGGCAGGCCAGTACCTTCTAATAACTCTGTGTAGCCGTGGCTGACTCTCAGCCCGGGCACTGTGCCCTTTCAGGCCTGACCGTTGTTAGGGGGCTGTTGGGTGCGTGGTAGGATGTTTAGCAGCATATATGGGCTTCCTGGTCGCTCAGATGGTAAAGAACCCACCTGCCAATGCAGCAGACACAGGCTCGATCCCTGGGTCAGGAAGATCCCCTAAAGAAGGGCATGACAACCCACTCCAGTGTTCTCACCTGGGAAATCCCAGGGACAGAGGAGCCTGGCAGGCTACAGTCTGTGGGGTCGCAAAGAGTTGGATGCTGAACATGAGCAGCTAAGCACCTGGCCTCTACCCAGGAGATACCAGCATCCCCCTCCCAGCAGTGAGAACCTAAAAGGTCTCTAGTCATTATCAAACATTCCCTGGGGGCAAAACGCGCCCCCCATACACACACCATTGACAACCACTAGTCCAGGATGACCATCCTTCCTGTTTCACCAGGAACTGCATGTGTTCTGGGGACAGGACTTTCAGTTTCAAAACTGAGACCATCCAAGTCCACTCAAGTCTGCCCTAAGACTGCCCCATCTCCTGCTAGAAAGCCCTTTGGGACTTCAGGAGCCTTTCAGCCTTGAATATGCATCACCTCGTCATTGTATTCAAATGTAGATTCTGAATCCCTAGATGCAGGCGGTGCTGACAACCTATATCTGCAACCAGCTCCCAGGCCACAGAGCTCCTGCTGGTCTGCAGGCCTCAGCAGAGTCGCAGGGACCTGGGTTGGGAGGGCCCAATTTCCGCTGAACTGAGGTTCCTAGAGGACTGATTCCAGGGGGTGAAGGGCCCCCTGGTTGTCAAGCAGTGCTTCTCAGGCCCACTGTACGTAAGGGTCGGCTACAAAACTGTCAAACAAGGCCTAGACCCCAAACCTCCAAGATTCTGATTGAGTTGGTCTGGGGCGGGATCCAGCAGGGTAGGTTCTTAGATGTCCCCCAGCGACCGCGAGGTGAGCCAAGACCGGGAGGTCCCAGTGCCCAGCCCTCCGTGCAGAGACCTTGAAGCAGCTGGTAGGCACAGCCTGGCGCTCCATCGCCTGGGCGCTCATAAGGCAGAAGGTCTCCCTGTGCCCCGATCGGTGCTTACCCACACAGCTTTCCGGCCCTGGGTCCAGTTCACCCACTCACAATGGGGGCCCAACGTGAACACGCACATTATATATACTAGAGACACGCACACATATCCATAATGTAGACATGCACATGTAACACTCTGCACTTATCCGCTTTGGGAATTGTTTCCTTGGACAACTTCCACTGAAGGAGGGATCTCTGGCCAAAAGCAGGCACTGAGCAGGGCGACGTGTCGGAGACACTCAACTCCATGCCGGGGGTGGAGGCATGAGCCCCTGTCCCCTCTGCCCAGGCGCGGGCTCGGCCTGCAGGAGAGCGGCCCTTCGCCCTCTGGAATCCTGCGCTCTGGAAAACGAGAGTGAGAGGAAGTGGGCAGGGCGGCCAGACAGAAGCCCACCGCGGCGGTCAGAGCCGCAGGACGGAAGTCCCCTCCTCAGCCCAGATGGTGAGCGGAGGGGAGCCGGGACCACTCCCCGCCGTCCACATGCAGATGCCATCCCCCCCAGCTTGTCCCCAAGTTCTCACGTCAGTGACTTCAGAAAACAAGCATTTGGCACAGAGGTCATTTAAGGTGCAGATAGCAGAGGGGGTGGGAAATGGGTTTCAACCGCTTCTCTCTCTTAAATAGAAAAATCAGATTGGAACGGTAAGAGTTGGAGAAAAAGCGTGATGCCAAGGAAACAAGGAAAAGGTTCAAGTAGTCGGCAGCTGCACTGAGGCGCGGCCGGTGGCCGCCCTGAGACGTGGCTTATCTCAGAAGGGCACCGGGGCCGTGGGCATCCCCGCCCCCACCTGCTGTCTCGGGGCTGTTTGCGCACAGGTCCAAGCAGCCGCAGCTAAAGCCTTCCGGCCCGTGATTTCAAACCTCTCTGTCATGTTGCGTTTTATTAATACAAGAGCAAAAGCACTGCTGGGAAAATGGGACACATTTCCTCTAGGAAGACTTGACTGAGTGTTCCATTTCCAGCACGTTCTTTACCCCAGAAGCCGGAGTGCTTCTTGTCCCTCTGGACGCTGTTCCACTCGCCCGCCCCTGGTGGAGGCTGTGCCAACGGGGAGAAGACGGGGCCCTCGGGGGAGCAGGGAGCATCTCCTCCCAGGTTCCCACCCCGCGGGTCTGTGTTTCTTCTCTCCAGTCAAGAGAGAGGAGGTGCTGATCGGCGCGGGCGAGTACATGGGCCAGCTGCTGGAGCAGGCCTTCCTGCACTTCTTCGTCACGGCTCGAGTCAACGAGACCAGGGACGTTCTGGCCAAGCAGAAGTCCATCGCGCTGACGGTCCCCAAGGTCATCATCAAGGTCAGTTGTCTCTCAGCCGAGGAGAAAGGCGAGGTTGCTGATGAGGCCCCCCGGCCTTCGCGCTTGTGAATGTGTGTGTGTGTGTGAATGTGTGTCTTGAGTCCTGCTCTCCCTGCAAAGAAAAGGAACTAGGATCCTCCTGTTCTTTGAAAGAAGTGAACCGCCCTATAAATAGATGTGCACATATAACACTTTTCCTCTCCTCTCCAGATTTAAATATATAGATGTGGCTGCAGATATAAATATAACCTGTGGGTATAAACACACTTGTGGAGGAAGATGGAGATGTGTAAATGGTACAGAGAGAACTCAGTGTCTCCAGAATCAGGTGGGTCAGGCATGGCCTCAGACGGCAGCCGCCTGGGTCCCTTCCCACCTGTCCTGCCGCCCGTGGAGTGCTGTGTACAGTAGACTGCAGAGACCAAGATGTCAGCCTGACAACCATGACTTTTCATGTGTGATACACCTGGCAACCGCCAGCCAGAGGTAGCCACAGAGGATGTCAACATACAGCTCCCTAGGAAGTTCCCTCACGTCTTTTCCAGTCAATTCCTCTGTCCCCCATCACCAGGACAACCACTCTCCTGACTTTTCCACGTAGTGCCTGTTTGGCTAGTGGTTCATTTTTTTAAAATAATTTTTAATTTAGCTCATAGTCCCTTCTTTTATTTTTATTTATTTTATGTATGTGTGGTTTCGGCCTTGCCACATGGCATGTGGGATCCTAGTTCAAGCCCACAGCTCCTGCATTGGAAGTGCAGAGTCTCAACCACTGGACCACCAGGGAAGTCCTAACCGGTAGCTGTAACACTGCCTCTCCATTTTCCCCATTTAACGTCTGTCTCAGCAGAAACCTCTGCCCAGATGACTTAAAGGCACTTTGCAGAGGAGTGCTGGGCACAGGTGGGAAGAGAAACAAATATGGCAGCCTGCTTGTTCCCACCTCTCAGGAGCATCAGCAGCCTCAGCACCCCTATCCCGGAGACCCACCCCATCCTGGGAGCGGACGCCCGGGCCTCCAGCAGGGTCCTTGGGCGTGACATCTCATGTCAGCCTTGTCCAGGGCTTGGAGACCTTCCCGAGCGATTAAGCGTGATGAGCACAAATCCAGGTACATTCCTCTGACGTGGTGGATAATCACAGGTTTAGTCACCCGGATTTTAAAGCCTCTAGAGGGGGCGGGCGGGGAGGGGCTGGCAGTGCCTGGGGAGGGGCAATGAAGCCCCGTGTCTTAGGATTTCGTGCTGTGAGTCACTTGTAAAGCTGGTCCCTGTTGTGCAGCGCTCAGAGTGGCAGCCTTGCCTGAGCCCAGGCCCCGTGCGTGGTAACCCATCCGAAGGCTACCCCACAGTGGGCGCCACCAGGCCGAAACTTGGGCCCCTGGAGGCAGAGAGCCCCGGACCCTCCTTTTCTAGAAAGGCTGGAATCCTGACACCTCCTGGGTTCTTTCACCTCAGCCCCTTCTGGGCCCATCACAGCAGCACCCCACAAGAGGCCTTAAGAGACAGAACAGAAATGAGGGCTGCAGGCTCTGCAGAGAATATCCAAAATGGTGGGGGGGTGTTGGGGTTCCTCCAGAGGTGCCCTCACTCCCTTGAGAGCGTAAACTCAGGGTTGCCATGACCAGGGCCCTGCTCACCAGGAACGGGGCGCACCCCTCCTGGCAAGCTCTCCCAGAAGCCACACGGTCCCCTGCAGACCCCTCCCAGGGGTCGGGGAGGCCTCCCTTTCCGCTGATGTTCAGGACTCCACCTCTGAACCTTGCCCACCAGAGGCAAGGCCCACTTGCTCACCTAATTAGGTGCCGGCAGCTTGTCCTCGTAAAGGGCTCAGGAGAGAGACTTCCCAGATGGGAAGTGCTCAAACCGCAGCACAAAATAGAATTTAATTGCACTGCTGATAATAAACTGGACGTATAAAGGAAACTGATAGCTTTCATCTCTTAGACATTATTAATTGAAGGATTATTGGTGAGTCGTCTTCCGAGTGTATTTAGACGGCAGTTCACTTCCCCAGGGGCAGAACCCAAATAAATCCCCTCTCCTCCAGCTCAAGTGATCTGGGCCGGGACAGTATACTTGGCCAAGAGCTGCAGGGGGCCTTGTTCTTATTTTTGCTTTGTCTTTTATCTCTATAAGCACATCGGGAATGCAGTTCTTAGAGGAAATTTATTTAGAGGTAGGACTTCCCTGGTGGCTCAGTGGTGAAGAATCCACCTGCCAACGCAGGAGTTACAGGTTCAGTCCCTGGAAGACCCCCTGGAGGAGGGCATGGCAACCCACTCCAGTACTCTTGCCTGGAGAATCCCACGGATAGAGGAGCCTGGAGAGCTACAGTCCACGGCGTCGCAGAGAGTCGGACACGACTGAGTGACTGAACGGCAACAGGGCCGCTTGGCTGGACTCAAGCAGGAGAGAGAAAGCAAGCCTAGCCTCCATCCAGGAGTGTTCAGGAAAGCAGGCAGGAGCGTGATCAAGTACGCGATCCCCTAACCACGAACCTCACTGACCACATCAGCCCCGAGGATGAGCTCAGTGGGAGCAGAGGAAGAGGCGCTCCTGGGTGTCCCTGAGCTGTGAGAGGCCCTGACTGCAGAAATGGGCTGCCTGGCTGGGGTCCCAGAGCCTCTTGCCTTTCTCTTTTCTCTTGAAGCCTGTGCCCAGAGCTCTGTCTCCTGGGCACCCCGGCTCAGCCTCGGGGCTGGAGCTGCCTGAGGGCGAGTTTGCAGCTGTTCTTGCCCACCCCCTCCTCTCTGGAGCAAATAGAGACCAACCAGGACCACGATGGGGCCCACCTGTCCAGATCCACATCAAGTCAACCAAAGCACTCAGGCCAGTGGACACGTCCTTGCCGCCCAAGAACCCCATCTCACGTGTGACTACATCTCGCACGTCTCCTGTGACCACAGAGATGGGAACTGGGTTAAATCGTGCTCCCAGTTAAATATTCCCTGCACCCACCACGCGTGAGTCACAGTGTGTGAGCCTCATATGGAAAACGGCAGGGGAGACAGTCATTAAACTTTAATGAGCGCATATCTCTTTTCCCAGGCTATCAAAATATTTTGATGGGAAAAGTATATTTTATTAAAATCGGATGTAGAATTTTTCTCTGCCTTCCCATGTGTTGACTGTTGTAAGAGGCTTTAAGTCAGGAAAAGATTCTTCAGCATTTTGATGGTTGAAGTCAAAGTAGCTCAGTTATGTCCAACTCTTTGTGACCCCATGGACTATACAGTCCAGGGAATTCTCCAGGCCAGAACATGGAGTGGGGAGCCTTTCCCTTCTCCGGGGGATCTTCCCAACCCAGGGATCGAACTCAGGTCTCCCGCATTGCAGGCGGATTCTCTACCAGCTAAGCCACCAGGAAAGCCCTGATGATTCTGATGGTTAATGAAGGGGTGTTTGGGGGAGGAGGGGTAACACAGGGAGCTTGCCTGGCCTGCAGAGTGGAGGCTGGTGCGAGGGAGTCGTGGTGTGGGACCTGGAGCTCCGTGCCGGGGGCTTCCCCCCAGTCTCAGAGAAGGGTCCCAGGGTCCGTGTCCTCACCCAGGTAAGCCAGAGCAAGAACACCTTTTGCAGAGAAGCCCCAGAGCACAGGGGCTTGGATGGCCGGGCGCCCTGGGCTCATCAGCCCGCCTGGGCAGCTTTGGGTCATTTCCTCAACACCTCAGATACAGAATGGCCCAGTAACATTGCTGGCCTTGTGGGCTGCTGGGAGGGATAATGGAAATGATTCTCACAAAGAGCTGAACACGGCACCTCTGTCACGGTAAGTGCACAGTGGGGTGGCCAGTGGTAAAGGACCCACCTGCCGAAGTCGGAGACGGAGGTTTGACCCCTGGGTCAGGAAGACCCCCTGCAGGAGGAAATGGCAACCCACTCCAGTAGTCTTGCCTGGGAAATCCCATGGACAGAGGAGCCTGGCAGGCTACAGTCCATGGGGTCGCAAAGAGTCGGGCATGACTGAGCGGCTGGTCATTCCTTCTCAGATGGAGACCAGCATCCATCAGCTTCCATCACTCAGGAGTGGACGCCAAGTTCCCTGTCCTCCTCCTCTCTCTCTCTCTATCTTTCTCTTACATCTTCTCTCTCTGAATTTCCCTGCCCAGTCATTTGCAAAGTGAACAACACACTCATAACTGTGGCTTCACTGACTCAACAGACCTGAACTTCAGCAAATCCAGGAGATAGTGAAGGACAGAGGAGCCTGGCATGCTGCAGTCCATGGGGTCGCCAAGAGTAGGACACGACTGAGCAGCAATCATAATACTAGCCCCATTATTAATCGTGATCATATATAAAACACAGCATTGTTGGGGACTGAATGCGTGCTGTTTCTGACAGCTCAGCCCAGCCCAGGACCTGGTGGCAGCCGGCGAGAGTCCGCTCCCTCCCTACCCCATACTCTCTGTGCTGGGATCCCACGCAGAGAAGTGCTCCAGGCAGCAGGGCCCACGGGCCTAAAGGGAAGGTAACGCTCGCCTGGTGACATCGGACCAGGCCCTGGGTGTTGAGCAGGAGTGTTGCTCCCTGTGGGGCCCTCCTGAGAGGGAGGCCCGTCCCAAAGAGCCTGGAGGAGACCTGGGGAGGGGGGCGGGCGAGGAGAGGCGGTCACACGTCTCAGACCTCCTACTAAGACTTCCTCTCAGCATCTGGGAACCGAACCCCTCCCAGTGCCATTGAAAACAGCTCGGGTTCCATCGCCTCTTTGGGACCATCTCGTAGGAGCGTCCTGCAGCCGCTGTAGAACATCCTTAAACCCCAGCGGAACCCGTTTCCTCCTGTGAATGAGGAAGGCGTTTGCCAGGGAGAGGGGCTCTGTCTCCTAAGGAGCCCAGAAGCTGGGGGCTGGCTTCATGCCCAGATGGCTCCTGAATCAAGACACTCTCTTGCCTTCCCTTAAGAACCCCTGCGTTCCCCCCGGGGCCCACCACTCACCGGAGGTCACCTGTAGCATCCTCCTCGCCCGCCTCCTGCTGCTGCTCCGGGAAGCCCCGA